TTCTCTTCCATTGTATAACATTTCTACATGTACCTCCAAAGCCCCATATTCTTCTAATTACTCAAAATAGCTTTAAGTCTGGTAGGGCATGGCCCTCTCATTTTTCAGAATGAGGGGTCCTATTTTAACACCTTTATTTTTCCAGGTGAACTCTTGTAAATTTTCCCCAAACATTTTGTTGGTACTTTGATTGGCATTGTGTTAAATTTATGCATTAATTGACATCTTTACACTATTAAATCTTCCCATCTCTCCACCAGCTGGAAGTATTTTGTCCTTCCTCTGAACTCCCCTAGCAATTTATACCTTTTTAAAAATCACTTTCTACCCTATACCCACCCAATTTTTCAAACCTGAAACCTGAGAGGCATCTCCTCCCCTTCCTCCCCCAACCTTCACCCCATCCAATCAATCATCAAGTGCTACCAATGCAACAGCCTAGATTCCATCCCCTTCTGCCTGTCCCCACTACCGGTATTCTAGTCCAAGATGCCATCATTTCTGGCTGAGGACACCACACTGGCCTCTGACTGACCTCCTTGAATCCACCCTGGCTTCCAAGGCCATTCTCTATAATTCAACCAGAATGACCTTTTAAAAGGCAAATCTGATCATTGCACTCCCCAGCTTTAAAATATTCCAATAGCCCCCCACGGCTCTTAGGGTAGAGCCAAACAAGCAGGTCCCAACCCTCTCTTCCAGCTTGAGACCAACCGTTCTTTAACTCATTTTTTTCTTCCCTCTTCATAGTAGCCATCATATATATCCCATGTCCTTTCTTACCCCAGGGCCTTTGCACATTCTGTCTCTTGTGTTTGCACTATTCTTGGCCTTCCCCATTATCTTAGTTTAAGAAGGTTCAATTTCCCAGGTGTATATTCCCAGCATCTTGTACAACTTCATTTTAGTACTCATCACATTTGTAATTACTTGTTCAAGTTTCCATGGTAATAACTCTAATAGTAGAAGTTTCCATGCTGGTTACCCTGATAGTAATCATAAGAATATTTTTAATAATAAATACCCTTGAATAGTAAGATCCAGTCATTGTCTATCCCAAGTACTTACATGAAGAGGTGCTCTAGACTTGGCTTCTGCCAGCTTGTGACAGCAGGTTGTTAATAGTTCAGAAATTTTGTGAGCCAGCTCATGTCATACTGGTAACTTGAAATCAGCCATAGTCAGAGTATTTGCACCATGGAAATCAGCAAATACCACCAATCCTCCCACTTCCTCCCCACCGCTTTTCCCTGGAGAGCCAAACACCACTGTTGGTATGCACGATATTATTTAGTCTCACCATAGTTCTGTGAGATAGATGGCCCATTGTATAGATGGGGAAACTAAGAAGTTAAGTCACTTACACGAGATTTAAGAACTAGAGGCATCCAAGAAGCCCAAACCTTGAGCCTAAGTAGTTCATCTTTACATCACTATACCATAATGAAGAAAGGATCCTGCTGGTCTGACTCATCTACAGTGTTCCCAGCACACAGCACAGAGCTGAGCATGGTGGGTGGGCTCAGCTGACATTTGCTTCATGAATAAGTCAATAAAATTTCAGCACATCAGGAAAACAGAGCTATTTGCTGACAATAATTGCTAAATAAGAGATACCAGGCAGGATGGCCAAAGACCTGAGTCCTTGTTCTAATTCCATCTTGATTTCAATGGACAATTGTGAACAAGTTGCTTCTGCCTGGGTCTTAGTTCTCCCATCTGCAAAAGAGGGAGTTTGATCAGGTGATCTCCAATGTCTCACCATCTCTATAATTCTTTGAATTTACAAGTAGCATGATATCTATTATTTTCATGGTTAATGGAAAAAAGTGGGCTCCCCTTTCAGCAGACACTTTGTTTCTACAAACTGTGGATCATGGCCTCCTGTGTTCTGTGTGGCAAATTCCCACTTTGCTGTAGAAATGTCACCCTTTTGTCCCCTCCTCCAGAAAGCCGTCACTGAGTCCCTAAAGTCAGCCACTCCTTGCTCAGTGCTTCTTGCATTTATAACTCTTATGGGACTTAATCCAATTATCATAATCTCCAGGTGTCTATTTCCCCTTCTAGAACTGTAAGCTGCTAGAGGCATACTGAAATTACTGATTTTGTGCCTTGAGCATAATTTAGAACTGATGTTTGTTGAATGAATAGATCAAGTACACTGATACGTGGGTCCTGCCCTCAGAGATTCAGAGCTGCTTGGTCTGGAGCCCAGGTGTTGGTGATTTAAGTGCAGCCAAGGGTGAGGACCTCTTCTGCAGAGAGAGTTTTCACATGTATACACACATGTGCATGCACGTGCACACAACACCAGGCTCCACACGTCCACAGCCTCACTGAGTATCTTTCATTACTTTAGAAGAGAGTTGAGGATTGGTTGCAACCTGGTTTGTCCTACCTGTCTCCTCACAGGCCAGATGGTCATCCATATACAGTGGATAGATAAAACAGAGATGCCAGAGCCCTAGATGTGGAAGTTATCCCAAAGTGAGACCCATTCCTCACCTAACCTCAGGGACAGCCCGCACTCCTGCATTCCTCCTACCCTACCAGCCACTTCTTCTCAGTCACCTTCATTGGCTCCTCCTGTCACCCTGAGCCCTACATCCTGGAGCTCCTGAGGTGTCATCTCGAGACTTCTTCCATCCTGTAGTGCCACTCTCTTCTGAGGCCATCTCCTCCAGCCCTGTGGCTTCAGATCTTGTCTGGATGCTGATTGCTCCCTTATTCAACATCCTCAGTGTCTTCCCATCCAAACCCCTTGCCCTACCTGCCTTTCCTACCTCATCTCCCACTGATCTCCTCCCCACCAGCACCACTCTGGCCAGAGGTATTCATGCTCTTTCCTGATGATGCTGGGCTTATTCCCACCTCTCAGGCTATAATCAGTTCTCTGCCTGGGACACTCAACCCCAATTCATTGACAGTCAGTCTATTCTAGAGAACACTGGTGAACCAAAGAGAAACACAACCCTGGAGAGTTCCAGGCACAGAAGGAAGACAACGTGAATGCAGAGGAGAAAAGGTCAGAAAGATATGGAGGCAGGGGGACAGATTTCCACGCCTGTAATATGGGTCTCCATTCAGTGCCCCTTCCTCAGAGACCCTCCCTGACCACTGCACCCAAAGCCCTCCCTCATTCTCTATCCCTTACTTATTACTGTTGAAATTATATCATCTATTTTCTGTGTCATCTGTCTTCCCCTCTAGAAAATAAGTTTTATCAAGACGAGGGATTTTATCTCGCCCATTTCTAAATCTCAGAGCCTAGAGTTTTGCCAGCCCATGGTACTAGGCATATCATAAATACTCATTTAAATGAATGAATAAACTATGTCCCTTTGGGGGGGATTACAATGATTACAATGGCATCTTCCATAGAAACACACGCACTATAACCCAACCAAGATGCATCTATCTCAAGAGAGAAAGTTCAAAGATGAAATTTTAAATAAATATACCTAAAAATTACCCTCCTCATCTACCCTCAGTGATATCTATCCAGGCATTTACACATAAACAAGAAGGGGAGGCTGGATCCAAACGAGAGAAGACACTATAAAATATTATTAGAATTTCATAGTGTCCCTGATATATTTTCTAAGTTTATATATTTCCTTGTCCATAGCCCTCATTTTCTCCTTCAAAGTACAATGTCCTAGTTGATCCTCCCATCTTCAATCATTATCCTGACTAATTCAATCTTTATATCAATAGCATTTGTGTTTGTTACGAGAACCCCTTTGAGTTACTCTCCATTGCATGGAAACACTTGATGTCGTCTTACGAATCAAGTCTCATTCCCATACTAGGCTTTGTGGTGTGGTTTTTTCTTTTTTTTCATTTTTTAAAACTGTGGTAAAACACACATGACAATAGTTACCATCCAAAGCCATTTCTAAGTGTATAGTTTAGTTAGTACCTTCACACTGTGCAACCAATCTCCAGAACTTCTCATCTTGCAAAACTGAAACTCTATTCCCATTAAACAACACTCCCATTCTCCCTACCCCAACACCTGAGCACCACCATTTGATGTACCATCTCTGAATTTGACCATTCTAGGTACCCTATAGGGCTTTTAGGCTGTTTTATGTTTTCCTTCCCTCCCATTCTTCACTCATGTGGGCTGAGTTGTGGTCTAAGTTCTACCCAAGTACATTGCCACAGCTGTAAACCAGCCCTCTCTCCTTCAGACACATGCTCACCTTACCCACTGGGCTCTAGCACATGAGATTCCCATAGTTGGGACATTCTTCCTTCTTCTTCAACTATTCAAATCCTCCCCACCCCTAGAAATAATTTTTGATTTCCATCTCCTCCTTGAAAACCCTTCTGTCTACCCTAGTCCACACTAAACTCTGTCTTTCTGTAACTCATATTCCATTCATTGGAAACAGGAAACATTTTGAATATTCTAATTCCCCAGCTGTTCTGTGCAATATACCATTGCCTCTAAAAAATTTCTACATTTCCAAATAGGGACCGTGTCTCATAAGTCATTATACCTTCCACCTAGAAAAAGTAGATATTCAACAAATTTTAAACAAATAATCAACAAAATTCAACAAAAATTGAAATCATAGATAATTCCTACTTTCATAAAATTTTAAAGCAATTTGAATCACTCTGCAGCACCACTGGGCAATTTTTACGGATCCTTTTCAAGAAAATTCAGTGATATCTGGCAACTTGGTCTAATTTTTTATCTGATCGCTTAGATAAAAGTCTGTTCTAGCATGGTTCTAGCCGAGTCAAATTTATAAAGATGCACTCATGAAATGAGCTCCCATGATCATCTCCCATTCAGAAATTGATTGCATAAAATAAAATTTAAAACCAAGTCTACACTTCTCCCATTCAATGCCTATCATTCAGTCCATTCTTCCCACACTAGTAAAAAGACCTAGAAAGGTAAAATCATTATAAAGCGGAGACACTGGGAAGTAGAGCAAAGGTGAACCAGGAGCCTGTCTCCCTTGGATCATTTTCTCACCCACCTGTGTAAATGAACCTCCCTGGAGCTCCTTTGCAGAACTGTTTGGATTTATAAGATAATGTCACTTCCACTACTCCAGGGATGTGCCGAGGAGGGGTCTGCACTCTGATGGCATGAGGAGTTATTAGCTGAGGAATGAACAGGCAGAGAAATAAAATACCTCTTATACAAGTTATCACTGAGGCTACAGAGGACAGGAGCATCTCTAACGACAACCCCCCCACCACCTGGGACAAACTGGCTGTACCCATGGCACCAAAGGCCCTGTCCCTCTCTCTCACATTTCTCCCTCCCACTCTGGAATTTCCTCGCAACTTAACCTGTCTAGATCCTTGCCTTCCCAACAGCCCAAGACTTCCCCCACCTCCAGGACCCATCCCTATATTCACTCCCTCCCTGTTTCCTACACTGCTACTCTCTCATGTAGTGACTGTTACTTTTCTTTTTGTAATGTCTTGTTGGTTTTCTCATTATGAAACTAGAACATATGCACCTTACAAAATTAGGAAATTACAGAAAAATATGAAGAAAAATATTAGCCTTGTGTAACCCAGAGATGGCCATTGTTAATTCTGGTGAGTTTCCAAGACTTTTCTGTGGATGGCTGTTATATAATGAGATTTTATATCTGTAGACACCATTGTCCTGATTTTTTTTTTCACTAAGCACGATAGCATAAATATATTCTCCTGTGCCATTAGAACTTTTTCAAAACCAAATTTTTAATGGTGGAATTGAACCATTCTCCTATTATTCAATATTTAGGCTGTTTCTAATTTTTCACAATTATAAACAGTGGTGCAATAAATATTTATCTTTTTAAGGGATCCATGCCTACAATAAAGTGTAGTTTACATGTCTTAATTCTTGGTGCCTTGCTCATAGTAGGTACTCAGTAATGTGCATTCATGTCACTGATGCTCCAGGAATTACATTTCCCCAAATCAAAACCATCTTTGGGCCAAAGAAAATCAGGGAAGCAAGTAGCCTTTGCCTACCTCACTCCATACAAGCATGGTCCCAAACACCACTTGGAGGCCATCAAAGAAGTTGTCTCCAATGATGATGACCATGGCTCCTCCTGTGGTCCAGCCTTCACTTGGGCTAATGGCTTTGATGCAGGGGGTAGCTAAGAAGATAGAAAAGAAAAAGTCAAGGCTGTCCTTTGATGGTTGAAATCTGAAGTTTTGGGGATTGGCTGCTCTTGGAAGCTGTTGGTTATTCCAGGTTCAAGTCGAGCTTTGCTGACTTGCCATCATTCCCTAATTGGTTGTTGGTTTTCACCAGGTCATTAAAGCCTAATGAGTTGACCACTATGTATGAAAACGTGGAACACTTAACTAATTGTGCAAGGAGTGTTTTTAAAACTGTGTTGTTTTTCCCCATATTTTTATAAGTTGATTACACTGGAAATGTGTAAATCCCTTTTCTCTCCCCACCTCCTCTGCCCCAAGACATTAAGATTTACAAGGCCTGCTAATGTGCTAGAGAGAAGGAGAAAGCAAAATCTATCATAGTTGGGGGTTTTTTCAACTCTATCAAGAGACAATTTCTAATCACTTTCCTAACTTTGTAGGACAGATTTAGCCCCCCCTCTTCTTCCATATGTTCAAGGCCTCTGGACTTTGCATCCCAACAGGAACCCAATATGGTTTTCAGGCCATAACTAAAGTCAATCCATCACTCCATTTCCAAAGTTGACAGGGTCAAAGGTGGAGGAGAACTTTGGCAGGACTCCAAAAACATGAGCCCCCTTTGAACAGCCAGTCAATCACATCCAATCAGTCAAAAGAAACTGGATGGGTTCCTAGTTCTGAACCCTGGGATTTTCTTCTCCCCTTTCAGTGCCCACTGTGGGAGAATTAACACCACTCCAAATTCTTTACTGATTCAATCATTTTCTTTCAGTTCATTAATTCCTATTTAAATTGATACAAGACACATTTTAAGGGCCAAGCCGAGCTGGGAGCTGGTGGGCAGTATACAGCAAAACATCACACTAAAATAGTAGCCTAGGTTAGCCATTCACCCTATATTATAAAGCCTTACTACCCCAGTGAGTTGGGGAGTGTAAAAGATGGAATTTACTCAGGTATTTGTCAGTTATCTTCCTTGATATGCATTAATTTTCTGGACAACTTGAAGTTGAACAGTTACCAGTATTTCTGACGACTTTAATGTGCATGGAAAAGTACCCAGAGCAGATCACGATTTCTTCTTGTCCAAGCAAACAAAAATCAATTAGTGTCAATTTCATTCTGCACATTGTTTTGTTCCGGCCACAATCTGTTTAAGGGCACATCTGACACTTATTCATACACGTCTGCCCTGTAATGTTCCTGTTTAACTAAGATGTCATAGGCCTAGGTTTGCCTCAATGCCCGTCGAGCAAAAAGAAAAACACAGGACTGGAGGGCAGAGGCAGGGATGCACAGAGGCCGGAGTGCCGGCTGGGAGGCATGCGGGGTTGCAACAGAACAGGCAGGAGTCAGTGTTTACAACTTCACTTAAAACCCACATGATCTTGTGTACTTTCTCCATGCCCGCCCAGAGAGAAATTTAAAATTCAAACCAAGACCATGGTGGGGACCTTGACTTGTTGGCCCATTCTCAGCCCAGATGACAGGCAGCCTCACCTTCTGATGGGTCCAGCCTTCTTGCTCGCCGGCCATGCTTGGAGTTGTTATGAACAAACATGTTGTCGGAAACAGCCAGCACATGTCCATCCACGTTCACCGTTGTTGACAACACAACCTGCATATTTAAAGTAAAAAATTGGCAGGGGGCGGGGGGAGTTAGCTGTACATAATGTAGGAAAAGTCGCAGTCTACTGTCTTGCCAGACTTCCCTATGGCTAATAAGAGATGAAACAGAATCTTGGGCCAGGGCCATGCCCTCGGCATCTCATCAGGTCATCCTCCCCCTGTGATTATGGCCGAACTTCCTGGAAAAAGAGGCCACACTTCACTCGGACGCTGTTACTTATTTGAGTTCAAGGCATGCCCTGATGATGGAGTGGGGCAACTGGCCATCTGCCTGCTGGTTCTAAAAACCTCATTCTCTCTTACAAGACCTGGACAATCCATTCCCAGCTGACCCTAGAGCTGTGGTCACGCCAAGGAGCCAACTGTATGCACTCAGGAAGGGAAGACCGCAACACCAGCTGGGAGGACATGTCTCCCACTTGGGAATGGGTTCTCGCACTTCTAATGCCTGCTGAAGTCATGCTGGGCACAGAGATGGGTCTGAGGAGCCATTGGTGGGTTGTCCCCACCCACTAGAGAGCAGTGGCAGAGAAGCTCCGATTTCTGGTGAGGAGATGAATTTGCTGGAATTCGGTGTTGAAAGTGTAGGATATTTAGTAATCTAGGCAGAGAAAAGGGAAGAGATGGGTGTGGGGCAGTGGAAGAACGTGGATTGGGAGTCAGAGAGAACTAAAAACACCACAACTGCTGTTTTGCCACCCGGTAACGTGAGACAAATTACCTCACCTTTTCTAATCTCCATTTTTCGCATGTGTAAAACGTAATCAACAATGACTATCTCCAGGGCTCAATAAATAAACTAAGGATAAAATAGGATATTACATGTAAAGCCCTAGGTGCAGGGCCTGGCGCATGCCACATGGAGATGAGTTCCCCCCTAATTGCCTCCCCTCTGCCTTGTTTGGCCTGTCACCAGGACAGGTGACATTACTCATTGAGCCCCTTCCGTAGTGTAAGCTCTGAGCGAGGCTCTGGAAAGGCAGACACACAGGCTGGATACCAGAAGTTACAAGGCTGCGCCCCTATCCTCAGAGAGCTCGCTTTTGGGTGATCAAGTAGAGTTCGACGTGTATGTTGTAGTTCCAAGAGGCAGAGGTCAGGAAAGGCCAGAGCAGTTGGGAAAGTATAGAAGAGGTGGGTGGACTTGAGTGCACCCACTACCTACTTGACCCAGGAAGATGGGCTGTCTTAGACATGAGTCTGTGTCTGTTATGCATGTAATTTTTTTAGAGGAAATAACTTGTTATATACATTTTCATACACACACATACACACCCCTCTGGAGGAAAGGCATTGAATAGGTACGTAATGAAGAGCTGTATTTAAAAATGATTCTTCCTGTCTACTCCCAAATTAAATTTGCTGATATTCTACTTATAATTTTTCTGCCACCCCTTCCTTCTCATTAAATGAAGGTGAGGGGAACCTCGGTTCTACTTTATCTCTAATGTGAAGTAAGATTCATTAGATGGCATTTAAAATTTTCAACTGTGAGTAATTTCAAGCAAACAAAGTGAATGGGGTAGTATAATAAATCCATCCTTTTTTTTTAGGTGAAGTTTACATACACTGAAATGCACGAATCGTAGCTGCACAGTTTTGACAGGTACGTCCAGGTAAGACAGACATCAGGGTACAGAACATTTCCATCTCCCCAGAAAGTTATCCTGTGTCCCTTTTCAGTCAATCCTCCCCACTCCCTAACCCCCACCCCAAGGAAACCCTTCTGAATTTTTTATTTTTTACCTTCAATGGAGTTTTAGATGGTAGCTTTTAATTTTTTAAAATACATATTTTAATATATTAGAGGTTCAGGGGAACCCTTAAAAGCATGAGTCCCCAAAATATTTCACCTAACCTTGGTCCCATGGGCATGAGAGTAGCATACAGGAATTTTCCACAGACATCAGCGGGTTTCAATCATTCATCCCAAAAGCATTCACTGAACTCCCACAACATGTTGGGTATTATATCAGGCCCTGGAGATTCAAAGATGACAGAACGTGTTCCCAGTCAGCTATGTGTCTCTCCCATATTTCCGTTCCTCTCCTGTGAATACACTACAGGTATGGTGTCCCCACCTCTCTGTGACATCAAAAGGAACTTAACGGAATCTCCATTGTCATTCAGAAAATGATTGTCAATAGCCCATAATTCAGGGGTGCACCCTGTCTAGCTCTGGATCTGGATTGTCCCATGTCAACATGTTCAGAGTCTGGGGAAAATGCTTTCAGAAATTTCCTATCGTACGGAGGCCACCATAAGATGTAGACGTCTGTCGCTGTCCACGAGTGCTTGGAGGCCCAAGGCCTTGTCAGGGCAAGCACAAGATGGCATCATAGTCAAAGGAAGAGAGAAGCCAAGGCTCCTGGCATGGGATTAAGAGGAGTATGAGGGTTGAAGGCATTCACCTTGGCATGCGCTTACCCTCTGAAAATAACAGGAGAAGGTGGAGAAACAAGAGGAATCAGGTAACTTTTATGAATTGTGTGTGAATGGATTGACGTAGCTGCCATCTCCAGAAAGCCTAGAAACAAGAGGGCGCTTCAGGCTTTAATTGCTAATGAGCTGTGCTAGGCACAGGGAGGGGAACCCCAGTCTGTCTGAGGATTATGGGGAGAGAGAGAGCATTCTCTCTGAGACCATTTTAATTCATTCCACAAGCTTCTTGTCATACTGTACTTTCGTGCTCCTCATGCATTCCTGCCACAAAATATGGGGCTTTCTCGAGCCAGCTGATTTCATCATTGTCCATTTGGGTGGAGTGAGATTCGGTTCCAAAGTGAACATTTCCCGAATGACATACCCTGATGGTTCAGATGCACTTCATTATTTTCTATTAACAATGGAAATAAATTTTAATCTCTTGCTGGCTAGCGCTGGCCTCTCATGACAGCAAGGGAATTAACCTGAATTATTTCAGTGTCTGCAAAATTTATTACAAGATTTTAAATTATGTCCAAATGTATGTGCGTGTGTGTGTATATATATAGATACAAGGCAAGTTCCCATTTTTAATATTTCAAATATCTTGGGCTGTGGGATATCTAGAAGAGTCTGTCAATTAAAGGGAACTGGGAAAACGTACAGAATTTAATCCTCCAACTTCAGCATGCAAAACAGGACATGTTTGCTCATTGTTTTTATACACACACGCACACACACACACACACAAATACTGATTTTTACATACATCCACTCTCCTTCTGGAAGAAAATGAACTACATTATGGAGGTGAAGATACATTTGGTCCATTCAAAGCTTTGAATTTAACTTCCTTCCCTGTTTTCTGATGAATGATGACAACACTGATATTATTCTATTCAGACAAGTTAAAGTTTCTGAATGTTTGGGGACTAAAGGAAGTGGAATGTGCATTCCAGCGTCGTCTCACTCCCAGGCCTTCCCTTTCCACAAGCCAACTTCTTTCCCCTAGTGAGTATTTCCTGGGTCATGAAGGCTGACCTTTTCCATCTGGAATCAATCAGTCAACCCCTGACAACTTCCTGAAACACCTCACTCCATTTCCTGTTCTCCCCCCTTCTCTCTTTTCCCCTGGTTTGCTTCACTCTTCAAAACTGCAGGCCACAGCAGCTTAATGTTAGAGGGTCAGACACAGTTAGACTCCAAAACACTACACAAGGACACCTTTGACCTTCAAAAATCTTTACATCTTAGCTAAACAAATCAAGGTCAACATTTCTTACCATTACCTTGTTAACTATTTGTATGCATCTTTGCCAACGATCTTCTGATCATATAACCATCAGTACCACTTGCTCTCCTGAGCTCATGAGCTGATCTGTTTTCAAGGTAGCAAATTTAGTCTTGACAAAGGGTGCCGTCTTGGAGGTAGCCAAAACTAGAAGTCACGGGCTTTATAACAAACATATGGAGTATATTGCCGACAAAGGAACTTCTATGTCTCATCAGTGTCTCCTATCACCTAAACCTGATACCTGGTCTTTTCTAAAGCTGTCAGCCTCTCTTGGCACTGCCATTCTGCTGGCATGGCCCAAAAGAATGCCAATTATGAATACAGATGTCTATAATTTGTGTGGGACTGACCCCCAGTTTTTGCTGCTGACGCTGTGACAGCTTTCATTTGTTTCTCATAGTTGGTGTATCTGTATTTTAGCTCAAAGCTCCGAAGGGAAAGCCTGCAGGTCAGAAACCCAAGCTACCATAGATTACAGCTCTCCTCGACTGAGATATTTCAACACAAAAGCAATAACCCGTGATACTCATGCAAATATTTTTTATGACACGGCACTTTAAAAAGACAAAATTCTGAGAGAGAGAAGTAGGGATCCATTGAAATTGCTTGCATTTTTTAAGTGGAAGTAGTTTTTCCAATTTTTGCGATTCCTTATTTTGCTTCGTGTGATCTCGAATTTTTAGTGAGTTTTCACACAGAGCAACTGGAGAGTGGCAGTGTAGGTTCCATTCTGAATCATTCGATTAAATGGCAGTTTTAGCCACATGAAGAAAAAGTCAGTAGCTCCCCTTGAAAAATATAAGACAGCTTTGAGACCGAAATCTACAACTGTGTTAGCAATCTGCTGAAAGTACTCAAGAAAACGGATTGGCCTTCTCAAATTATTTTTTTTTCTTCTCATTATCTAAAAGTACTCCCATGTCCCTCACTCTAATAATTTAAACAAAGCAGGAGCTGAGTTGTAAAGTGCTCTTTCCTGCCCATACAAGGCCACGGTGGGAGTTACTCTTTAGGTGGGCACATCCGTTAATCTGTACAATCAGGTTTCCAATGGAGGAACGGCTCCTTTGGTATTGGAATGATAGCAGGCGACATGGGAACCCTTACCAACCTGACTTACTTACATAAAAATGCCCAAATGCACTTTTATGTCTCACTCTAAAATGCAAAAAAAATGCATTTTTACGTCTCACTCTAAAATGTCTTCGGCTTTGTTGGAACATCACACTTTGAATTTTTTTTTTTTTTAAACATCTCTCTTTCTCCAAGCT